AGAGACAGGAGGAGGAGGAGGACAACTTTCAGACTTGATTCTGTTATTGTAACCTTACAATAAAAGTAGTGTTAATATTCATGGTTGGTGCTTCTTGTCTGGATTATCTTAAAGGGCTGACGTCAATCTTGCAAGTCTGAAAAGACATCTCTCTCCCCTCTTTTACAATCCAAGAAACTAGGAAGGGTCCCTTCTGAGATGTTTGCCATGCCCCGTGCCTTCTGCAGGCTAAGCTGCCTCTTATCTGACTGTTGCCTACTCTGCTGCTCCTCTTCCTCCTCCTCCTGTCTCTCAAGGACATTCTCACAGACCATTACAGTTTCACACGCAAGCATGAGATCCACTTGAGCTTCATGCTTGGTTTACCGGTAGTGTCACGTTTTGCAGATTTAAACAACCAGGTATCAAAAAGCATTCCGAATTAAAGATTCTGGGGGGAGGAAAAACAGCAAAGTCCAGTGACCTGTAGCAGTTTAAGGCTAGGAGAAAAAAATAAACCCTCTTCCCTCTTCTTCACTCTTTGTGACTTCTTTAAAAGTTATTTTTCCAGGAAGTGAGTCTCTCACTATGGGCATTTTACCATGACATGTATTTGTATTTGCATTTGCACTGGAATTAGTTGGGCTAGAAAGAATCAGCCATCTGCCTGCTTGCAAAGATTTACCAGAAGGATGAGATTTGAGATACCCAGAATTAGGAAGGTGCAATGTCTTTGCATTAGTGTAGGACACAGTAAAACTCTTCTGCCAATGAGATGTTGGAAGGTGGAGTCTCCTTTCTTTGAAAACAGCAAAGTTTCCATTTGTTTTTGTTTTTTAAGGACTGATTTCAACCTCTCTCAAACATTTTTTGACCTGAGGGATGGTGAATAAAGACATTAGCCCCATCATGAGCACCCTACACCTACTTCTGTGAAAGTAAAATCCACTCGAAGTAGAATTTATCTTCAGGTTAGCGTAGTAGGAGATGTCATCATCAGCTTGCAGTATGTTAACATATTACTAGCAATTGCTTACTAACAGATTTCTAATCTAGCCTCTGCATCTGGATCACCAGCCTAAAGTAATGAAGATATGTGCGAAACGTAGGTTTACTGCAGTAATCGGAGTCTGGTTGGCTTTGCATTAGATTTCTAAAATGGATGTATTCAGTACTCCGGAAGAGGTGGAACGTATTTTACAACACATTCAGTGCTAAACAACATGATACAAACGGCTGCAATTGGGCAGCGTTTGATAGAAAAAGCAAGAGGATTTTTATTGGAAAGTCATAAAAAGTTAAAACATCTCCTTCTGTCTCCCTATTTCAGACTTCCTTGCCTGTTGCCATTTTCCCCCACCCCAACTTATGCAGAAAATAAAAGTAATTTGGAATTGAATCTGGAGCACTGGAAGAGCAAACGAGGAGGAGACAAAGACAACTGTGTCTTTTAATACGTTGTGATTCCTGTTCGTCACCTTAGCGTTGTTTCCAACGGAATCATTACGGTATTTGTATATTAAAAACTATTTCACTCTAAACGGCTTTGGCCTTTTTAATAAGCAGGATTTACAAAAGGGTTCAGTAAATATACATTGGGTCACAAATCAGAGACTAGAATGCGAGCAGTGAATAGAAAGCACTCCTACATTTGTTTCAGTTTATTTAATAAGCCGTGTTTTATTATATCATTGGCTGGGTTTGCACAACACATTGAAAATCATAAACCAGAATTCTTAATCTCCAGGGGCAGGATTCACACAGCCAAAAGACCACAGGGTGGCTGTGTGGCATAAGGCAGATCCCCTACACAGGATGGATAAGGTACCTTTGCATCTGTGAATGAAAGGAACTTCTGCACTAAATTCTTGCAGGATGGGACTGTTAGTGCAACTTCATCGGTCAGAATCTAGGACTGGGTGGTGCTTTGGAAATGATTTGGAGAAAGGGCTGCGGTGTGTATAGGAGCAGGAATGTAGCATCAGTCTGCAATTCTTCAAAGAAGTTGTTTCCTGGGATCCTATGGCTGCAGCTTGCTCTGAGCCTAGAAAAAGATGCAGCTGCTTTAAAGAGTTGCAGAGAGGTGCTTTTCTCTCACTCCAAAGCATCTTGTTGGGATCAAATCTGAAGCACTGGACCATTCTCTCAGAAACCATTTTCGGTAATATCTTCTCTGGCCAAACAAATATTTCAGCTAAGAAGTAATGAGTATTATTTCAACAGACATTGCTGCCTTTCTTGCACGGTGTGACATGACAGCTTTTGCCTCGTCATACAGGGAAATGCTTTGCAAATCCACCTGAAAAGAGCTGCTATTGATCTTCTGCTGTAGCCAGTGAAAAGAGAAATGTGAAATCATGAGTTTGGTGCAAGAAAAGTGTATTTTGATGGCTTCTTTACACCAATCCTTCAAAATGTTTTGCCTTTGAATCCACTTTCAACATTGGTCTCTTTCCTGCAGCAATGTAACTCCCTTGTCTGCATGGTTTTACAATTCTTTCCTAGCCAATTAATGTAGCAATGTCCTGCCAGAAAAAGTCATAACCACAGGTTTTTCCTGAAGATCACTTGACACAATGGCTCAAAAAGGAGGATTCACAAGGCCCTTAGAACTCTCTGTGAATTCTAAGATGAGGACCTACGCATTTTGGAGAAAAGGACATTCATTAACATGATACCCACGAGGAATCTTTTGATACAACTGAATCATGGAATGGAAAGATGAACCTTTTCTGGAACAGGGTTGGATGTCATCCATGACCTAAGCCCTCTATCAGGAAATCCAAACTGAGCGTGAGTCGCAAAGTCTAGAATTTGTCCTCTTGTCCCAAGCACCAAGAACAAAAACTCTTTTCTCTCCATCACCATCACAGCGATAAAGCATCTGTTGATGATGCTACATTAATTGAGACTGAGTTTTAAAAGAAGCTCACGGAGAATTGGTCCCAAATGAGTGGAGAACAGATTACGTGCCTTCAGCATCACCGGCCGTTGCTGAGAAACACACATCAGTATTGTATGTCTTGCTGTTCAGCACAGTTGTATATTTGCACAAGATAGGCTTCTAAGCAGCTGGTAAAATCACTAAAATCAACTAAGCTGCAAACCCACACAAGTTTCAGTAATTCAATAATTTATTCATCTAAAAAAGTGTGTAAAAGTATATAGCTCTCATCCACAAGGTATATATGAATGACATTTAAAATGGAGGTTTTTATTATTATTGGTTTTTCTTTTTATCAAAGTCTTTTTTTAGTGTATTGTACCAGCGATATACTGTAAGATTTAAAATGAACTTCACATAGTTCTTTTTTCTGTTTGTTTTGTTCTGTTTGTTTCAAATTGGCTATATATAAAAGAGGCTCACTGCAAAATGCTCAAGGAAAAAAAAAATCAAACTCTCCCAAGAAATGTACAGCCTTTACATTAAAAAAAGGTTCGGAAATATACATACAAGCATGCTGGACAACCCGTGCGCCCACCCCACCCCCTTTTTGCTCAAACTGTACTCATTCTGATTTCTGCATGATTTCTAAAATTAGAAATTAAAAAAAATAAAATAACTTCTTCACTCTGTAGGAAATCCAGGGCTTGTACATTTCAGATTAATTCAGTAAAAAACCCACAAGTAAAATAATGCATATTTAAAGGGAAATATACAGATTTTCACACTGAAGTACATAAGGTTTTTTTTTCTTTTTAAAATCTATTGCCATTCATTTATTTTGCACAAAAATGTATAAATATGTTACCAGTTTCTCTTAACTTAAAAAAATTAAATAAAAACAACATCAGATGAAAACTACTCCTTATTACCCCTTCCCCATATTTGTGGATTGAGGGTATTTTAATTTTTGCATTAGAATTGGATCTCTAGGGGGAGAAGTAACCCCTTAATAAAAAACAGCCCGTTAAAAAGAAGCCAACCCAACTATAATCCAAAATTCAGGTGAATCTTGGGAACAAATAACCCCAAAGTGTTAAAAGATAACTTTACATAGTTTTCCTCACCAAGTTTTTTTTTTTTTTGTATACAAGTTTACAATCTTCATCTTTTAATGCTCTTCAAAAGGCCTTGAGAATTTTCCTTTCTGATTAAGAAAAAATAGTAATGCAATATTTTTAAAATCAATTTTACACTGTATACATTAGATACAAATGGTTTTGATATATCTGATTTTCCTCCTGTACATTGCAAAACTCCTCCAGGTGGGTGGCCTGAAGCAGAGAATAAGAGCAATCCATTTACAGGGTCTTCTTCTGACCAATCCTTTCCCACCATCCATGGGATTACTTTTTTTTCTTTAATAATAATAAATCTGATTTAAACATTACATCGTCATTTCAAGAAAAATATTTAAATTCATAGAAATTTTAATTTTTTTTTAACCAGAAGAAGACAGACTTTTGGAAGAACTTCAAAAATGTTAAAGGGTTCTCCAAGGGTGGCCGTAATGACCGAGCCCCTTCCCCTTTTTCCTTAGAAGCAGCCCAGGCCTGTATCCACTAGAAATGGGAACACCCCTTAGATTTCTCCAATCCTAGGAGTCATTTGAACAATTTAATGGCTTTAAGCTTTTCTTCTAAAAAACAAAACCCTGACACAACATTTTAACCAAGTCAGGCTATTTGTTTTTTCCACCAGTGGTTTTTATTTTCAATATTAATGTAATGAAGTGGCTTTTAAAAATTTCTCTGAAATCTTTCTTACGAAGATTAGTGTGGGGCGGGGGGGGGGGAATAAATACATAAC